CATTTTAATAATATATATGCATTAAGTCCATAGTAATGACATAAATTGCAAAAAAGTGCAATAAACTACAAAAAAATTGAAAATTGTTTTTGTTTTGTTTTTTACATATATTTCTACTTGGAGAAATTTAAGAGGCTTATCCCTCAAAACTTTAAATACAAAAAAGTTGCAAAAAATAGTCTACAACAACAGGAAATTTATTTTGAGTGTCTTCATAGTTTTATTTTTGAGATACACCAATTTTTATATACTGCAGAAAAAATGAAAACAATCTTATGATGCAAATTTGAAAAGAAAACATCAAAATAAATTATTTTAAGCAGTGCAATTTGAGTTCTAAGCATCACAGAAACTATTCAGAAAAGCATAAAGTCAAACATGACTTATAAAAACACCTGCCATATTGGTTTTGAGGGGAAGACTGTTGGCCAGCATCCCTTAATATTCCGTTTCATGGCGTAAATTGCCCACATCTAGGCCACTGGCTCCATCGTGGGACCTTCCCACAGTATTAGCTGCGCTCTCCTGTTGCCCGTTTGAACCCCTGGAACAGGTTGAGTTAAAATTTCTGTCCTTGAAGACAGCTCTATTAATTGCTTTAGCTTCGGCTAAGCGTGTAGGAGAGATCCACGCTCTCTCAGTGAATCAGTCATGCATTCAGTTCTCCTCGGATAATGCGAGGGTCAGTATGCAACTCAACCCCGACTTCATCCCAAAGGTTGTCTGCACATGTTCCCCTATAGAACTGCCGGCCTTTTGCCCACCGCCTTTCTCCTCAGAGGAGCAAAAGCAGCTGCATACCTTGTGTCCCGTCCGTGCTCCACGCATTTATATGGACAGAACCCAGAGTGTCAGGAAAAGTGACCAGCTGTTTGTGTCCTGGGCTAAACCAGATATGGGAAAGCCTGTGTCTAAACAGCGCTTCTCCCATTGGGATAGTAGGAGCAATTGCCCTGGCCTATACTAGCAGGGGCCTTCAGCCTCCTGCTGGCTTGCGTGCGCATTCCACTAGAGGTCTGGCAACCTCATGGGCTCTCTTTAGGGGAGTTTCTATCCAGGTGTGTGCAGCTGCATGCTCTGCCTTTTTTGAGCTTCTGATGAGGTCACGCGGGAGGCGTTCCCCATAGTGAGACACTCATTCATGCTACTCAGAGAACCATGGTTATACTGTAGCTCAGGTGGCAGAGCAGGTCAGCCCCTAATCAGAAGGTCGGTGGTTCGATCCCAGGCTTCCTCCTGGCTGCATGCAAAATATCCTTGGGCAAGATAAAGTAGTTTTTTGCCTACTGGTGGTGGTCAGAGGGCCCGGTGGCGCCAGTGTCCGACAGCCTCGCCTCTGTCAGTGCACCCCAGGGCAGCTGTGGTTACAACGTAGCTTGCCATTGCCAGTGTGTGAATGGGTGGATGAGTGAATGTAGTGTAAAGCACTATACAAATGCAGGCCATTTACCATTTACCATTCATTACTTACTACTTGAACTGCTGTGCATATTGTTTTTCCCTTTTATTTACTTCTCAATCATGATGATGTTTTTAAAGAAAAGTTTGTTACTGTGGATGTTTCTAAATAATGTTCTCTTTTGTCATCTTTTATTATCATTTGTTACATAAAATCAGTATCCACACAGCACAAGTTATTCCAAAACATACAGAAATGGGTCTTTTTTATTTTTTTAAACAAAATGACAAACCATTGCATCAGTACAGACAAGATCGTCGCCGTACATATTAATTAGTCTTGAATAAGAGATCCCTTTTTGTATATGATATAAAAAAAAAACACACAATGTTGTCCACAGGTTACTGACATTACCTGAATGACCTTCATCGGCTTCCAGGTTAAAGCAGAACAATGAGTGACCAACACCAAAATCCTCACGGGTTGTAGCCAGAGGTCTGTCCTTTAGGTGATGCCCCGTGCTGGTTATACTCTCTAACATATTGACGCCTATGAAAATGTTCCTGGAACAGTTTAGTGGGGTAAGAGTGGCCGTCGACATGCAGACACATGAACTCAATGCCGCAGTTTTCAAAATTAAAAGGTTCGCATGTATAGCTTGCTGTAAATCCCTCACTGACAAAACCAACTATGACAAACTTTGGTAGAGTTCCTGTAAATCCATGATCCTGTGAAGAAACGCGGGTCCTTCCGGGGATGGAGAATGTCTTTAACCCACACTGTCTATTGGGTATTTAGCATTAGCATGTTGTAGGGCTTTACTGTGTGCCAACCTGACAGTTGGTGATACACTCACCAAGGACTCATGTGCTGACAACTTCTTACCGAATGTCTGGGTTCACGGTAATATAACCTGTCACTGTCAGTCTTGTCATGAATAGTATGGTCAAAAGCTCTTATAAATGGTATAAACATGTCATCTTTCTTAAGTCCAAAACACTTTTGTTGTCTTATTTTGTAAGAAGTTAAAAAATAATAAAATAAAACATGAAATAACTATAAATGGCACTTACATTCTCTAAATGATAGGATCGGACTGAATCATTTACAGCCTACAGACTAATATTTTTTCCATCCTCATGTCACAGAAAAAAAGTATGTGTGAAGAATAACATTTACCGACGTACTTTGGAGCGCTGATCAGTGCGGACTCTCTCTTCAGCGCTGTTTGGGTCACCAGGTAACCTCACATGTTCGTGTTTTTCTAAAACAAAGTAACAACAGTTGTGTTAAAAACAACAAGCACAGAAATGCATCTTTAAAGACCCAATAATGATTTTGTGGTTTGTCAGTAGCAGCGGCTAAAAAGTAAGTTCATGACTCATTTGAAACGCCAGATAATCTGAAACACCAAATAATCAGAAACACCAGTGGTCAGAGTAAATAAGTTGAAGAAGCTCAGCTGCTGTGTTCTGAGTTACTGGGTGGAAGATGGAAACCAGTTGAATCCAGATGAGCAAGCTGCCAATTCTCATCACATAGACGCTTCCAGTTCAGGAAGGCAGAGCAACAGCAACAGAGAGAAGGCGGAAAAAACAAAACTCCGGTGGGCATCGATGGAGTGTAAGTATTTTCTTAAATTCTACTTCTTTGTTATTCTGTTTCTTTTCGGTCCGGGACCGTGTGTACGTAATTTCGTTCCACCACATATAAACATATGATGCGAATAACAATAAAGCTCCTTGAATCCTTTAATAAAACCACTGCTATGTAGACAAAGAGACGCTAAGCTGAGTAATAATTAATAAAAATAAGTCTGCGAAGAATTAAAATAATTACACCAAAACCAGTGGAGCCAGTGTCCACTGAGCCAGAAGATTTGTACACTACACAGTTTTTACACATATGATGATAGTCATATAATGATGTGTTAAAATCTGAGGAACCTGAATTCGCTGTCAAGTAAATTATTCCTTGTGCACCTGTGGTGCTCTGTGTATTCTGACCTTTGAACTACAGCAGCTCGTCTGTTGGATCAGACCACAGGACCAGCCTTTGCTCCCCATGTACATCAGTGGGCCCTGACTGCTCATCACCCTGTCACTGGTTCACAGCTGTTCCTTCCCCGGACCACCTTTGAAAGATACTGACCACTGCAGACTGACAAAGCCCCACAGGTGCTGCACTTTTAAAGACGCTTTAACAAAAACACTGATGGCGAGGTGACTGGGTAAAACCCGCTCAAATCATCACACTCACCTATTTTTCCTGCGTAACTGAACTGTTCTATCTTCTTCAGGACAGCCTTCCTCTGTACGTGGTTAGACTGAAACTTTTTTAACACTGTTCATAGGAGAGCATCTCTGGGATTTCAGCTGCTTTGTTAAAATCACAATAAGAATCATTTGTCCATAAATAACTTGTGTAGGCAGGATGCATTATGTGCTCACTTTGAGGCTGGATGTTTTATTGACAGGATATAAAGAGCGTGCTCAGAGTCAGAGCTGTCATTTCAGACATACCCACACCTGCATCCTGCTCCATCATTCAAAGACACGAGGACACCTTCACCTCCTGCACGAGTTCTGTCAGATGCTTTTGATTCCCCACAGAGGACAATAATCCAAAGATGTTAGACTGATATAGAATTTTATTCTGCACATGCACGGATCAAATGAACATGTCACAGGGAGTAATTTGATATTTCCAACAAATGGAGACATTGTTGTGACGGCTTCTGTTACATTTTACCAACATTAGGTCAGAAAATCATCTTATTGTTATAAGTAACAATGCCAACATTTTTCATCAGTAATATTTTATCAATAACTGGAATGCTGAAAAACAATAATATAATGCACGCATAGACAAAAACAATATATTACAGTTCATGTTTGTATTGTGTTGTAGTTCCTCATTGCGACCACTCGAGGGCAGTGAACACTCATCACAGTCAACAGCACACAAGCACCAGGGAGCAAGGGTTTAAAACGTATTATTATGCTGAAAGATAAAATGTTCAACCTCTATTATAATAACTCTGCGTAACAATAATAATGGATTGGATTTATGTAGCGCTTTTCAAGGCACCCAAAGTGCTATACAATACCACTATTCATTCACTCTCACATTCACACAATAATATTAATGATTTCTTTTAATCAAATTTATATTTATTCATTAAAGCTTTTGTATATTTATCGGAAATCTCATTTAAATATAAAACAAAACGACAAATGTAATCACAGTTTATTAAAACACTGAAAAGACAATATATGTTCAATAATAATAACTGCTGATGCTAATAACAATGCTATTAATAGCTGCCTTAAGATTACATATTAGTGTGTGATGCTGGGAGAAGTTACAATGCTGTTTCTGCTCTGATCAGAGGAGATGAGACCTGCTGAGGCCTCGGACACACTTATCAGCTGTGAGGATGCAGTGAGATTATGAATTTTATTATTTTGAAACAAACACTGTCTAATTAGAACAAGTTAAAAGCTTATTTGTAGATCTATGCTAGTTTCAAAAGTGTCACTACTTTACAAAATCGACATATTCAAGCCAGAACTCTTTGAAAGACCCTCTGAGCATCATCAGCAAGTTCTCTGAGGATAATAGGCATAGCTTTCTCCATTACCCGATAACATCTTCCCCTTGGGATTGAGCCCATTCAACGAAGTTTATCATGCTCAATGCAAAACGTAATTCAGATGTTACTCCAACCTGGTTCAACACCTTCAGCGGGAGCTTCTCAGTTATTTCAGCTGCAGCCAGGGGTGACTTGATAACGGCACACAAATCGCTGTATGACAGACCTGTGCTGGCAGCAAGTTTCCACAGAGATGGGATATCAAGACCAAACGCATCTACCACCATTGCAATAATAATGTGCAGCCAAGGTAGATTAACAGAAACAGTTAGCCCAGGAACAGAAACATTTGGTCTACCAAAGCAGGCCACATTAGGTAATCGTAGATCCATAGCTTGTTTCTTCTTCTTGATGATCTCCAGGCTGATGTTGGGCATGGCCAGCACAAAAGCATTCCTCTTGAGTTTAGGAAGTTGTCTCTCTAAGGTCTCATGTAGGAGAGAGAAATCCTACTTCCGAGGCTTAAAGCTGGACACCAGGAACACCTTTGAACACTTGATGCCATGTGCCTGAAGACCTGTAATACAGAAGGAATCCATGTGACAGATTATTAAGATGGAGTTTATTAATTTATTTTAAGAAAATGTTCTTGTGTGAGAGAGAGAGATGAGCTTGTAACATAGCAGAGGAAAAGAAACACCTTTATGTTGGTGGAGACCAAAAATGGTTTTTACTGGACAAACAAATGAATAAAACAAACATCAGCCTAAAGTATGATATCAAACTGACGGGGCACAGCCACCTTCTCTTCTTATTTGTTTATTATTTTCCAGTCTAACAGGCATTTTTCAGGACAAAGCTCAACAATGGTCTGACCTCTGCACTAAGTGCATGACTGTCATTAAGAACAGGACGATCAGTATGAGTGAAAAAGCAGCCAATGTCCAATGCAAACTTTGAAAGACCTCTAGAAGAGAAAACAGTGCAGTGAACATTTCTCTCTCTCTGGTATAAATAATCACACACTCACCTTGAGCACAGTCTTCCTTGATCTTTGTAAGAGTCCTCTGTTTGCTGAAGTTTCTCTTTCTTCTCTCGGCTCCTAAATCTTTGTCAATCTTTGAACGAACAAAGTAGAACTTTTTCCCCATCTCCTGAATCTTCAGAGCGAGTTTCACATCATTTTCTGTGATGTGAGTCTCTGAGACGATGATGAAGAAGTAAAACATCCTAAATTCAACACGCTTCAGGTACTTCTCAGCTGGAAACATTGGCGTTCCGATTCCAGGAAGATCCCATAAAGTGACATTGGGATAGTCTGGATGTTTGTAGGCTGCGACCTCTGAGGTGGAGTCTCCATTTGCAGGTGCAGCTTCATCATCTTCATCTGTTAAACCTCTGAAGGCATTTACAAAGGTGGATTTACCAGCACCGCTTTCTCCTGTGACGGCGATATTTAGTGGAATATTTCTTGTCTTTTTTAGATATTTTTTCTTTATCTTTGCAGCCGCTGCAGCAGTGTCGTAGTTTTCTATAACCGATTTAACTCCAATTGGATCATTCATGCTCGCCTTTGATTAGAGACAGAAGGTGTTATGGTAACAGTTTCTGAAGATATAAATCTGAGCAGACAGCAGTGTGCAGTAATAGAAGACCGCCCTGAGCTAAAACAGGAAGCTTTTGTCTACGGTCTCGGGTGGGAGATAATTTTTACCATATAAAGTCACATTTTACAGATACCTGCACTCAGAGCAAGAAAGGAGGAGGCTTCAGTTGCATCATCCATACTGTGCATGCTGAGTGCAGATTAACAGTGGCATTCATCAGAGTTTCTGCTGAAAGCCACAAATCAAACTGGCAGCATTTCAGAGCATTTGCATGTCGCCTGCACGTGGCCGACTTCCTGCCCTCCTCACCAACTCTGTGCTTCATGTGGCTTTCATAAAAAATAGATGCTGTGATGCAGATGCTGTGATGCAGATGCTGTGATGCAGAGTGGAGCGCTGCGGCTGGGATGCTCAGAAATGCGCTATGGTGTAGGTGGTAGGATCTCAAACACCCACCAAACATGGCTACAGCCACGTGATCTCTCTGCTTGTACAACACTCAGCGCATCAGTCACGACTGCATCCTTATCTGTAGATGAGGACAGTCTGTTCCATCAAGCTCACACTTCTGCGCTCAGTGTCAACTCTGAGTTTGATGGACCAATTGGAGCAGCAGCTACAGCGGGAGCACAAAGTGCTGCAGATACAGAGGAGCAGAACTGTGAAGCCTCTTTCTTCACACTGCTGGACCTCCATCCATCTGCAGCTGTAGTCTAAAATCTAATCTGTTGCTTTTTGCTAGATTTGCAGGAAGAACAAGAAGAAATGCTTTTCATATTTAGGAAACTGTAACATGAGGATATTACTCTATTGTGTAGCAGAATAAGTCTTTGGTTTAATAAAGCATTGCTGATTACTAGTTGGTAGCCAGTTGCTTTATGTAGTCCTACTATAAATAAAAACTGCTATCTGTTGCCCAGGTATCTGGGTTTCTGGTCACCTGATTTCAGTAGATGTTAAAGGTTACATTTTTACCATAATAAGGTCACATTTTACAGATAATTGCACTGAGAGCAGAAAAGGTGGGGGCCTCATCCATGCTGAGCAAGCTTGAAACCTGGACCCCCCGTAGCCGGTTACCAAGATTACGTGAAGTACCCTCAGAAGGTCTGCTAGATGATGTTAATGCAGCACTACGGACTATACCTACAGCCACGATTACCGACACTAACAAGCTGATCTACAATACGGCAGCAGTGATCAGTGAGATGCTTGGCTACAAGTTGAACAGCCACAAGGAGCAGTACCCTCCATGGAGAAGGAGGCTAGAGGGCAAGATCAAAGTAGCACGGAGGGAGGTTAGCCAACTATCGGAGTTGCAGAAAGGCGCGATGAAGAAGGTGCATAAGAAGTACAGGAAGCTGTCCATACCTGAGGCCTTGGAAACTGCCAAGCAACGACTCACAGCCTTGGCCAGCTACTTGAGGAGGTACACCAGAGAGATAGAAGGCAGGAGAATAAACCAGCTGTTCTCCATGGAACCAGCCAAGGTGTACTCTCAGTGGCAAGGGAACAATATGAGAACAGCACCACCAAGGCTGGAGACGGAACAATACTGGAAGAGCATATGGGAGAAGGACGCAACCCATAACGGCAATGCACAGTGGCTAGTGGATCTGAGGGCAGACCATAGCAACCTCCCTGAACAGGGTCCAGTAACCATCACAGTGGCAGATATCCAAGAAAGGGTCTCCAGTATGAAGAGTTGGACAGCACCAGGGCCCGACATAGTTCACGCCTACTGGCTGAAGAAGCTGACTGCACTCCACGAGCGCCTGGCAGCACAAATGAACCAGCTGCTCGTTAACGAGAGACACCCAGAATGGCTAACCGAAGGTCGGACGGTCCTGATCCTCAAGGACCCCCAGAAGGGACCGGTCCCCTCCAACTACCGACTTCCCCTGCCAGTGGCGGACTCCCTCAGGTATCGGTGCGTTGGTGGTTCTTTGTGTCTGGGGGTGGGCGTCCAGGTACACACCGGCTCACTCCTTGGCGGCCGCTTATCGGGCCTGGAGCCTGGGGCTCGCTCGGACCACTTCGGAGGTGGGGTGCCCCCGGCCTCTCGGCCTGGGGCTCGGTCACTCAGGCACAGCTGGCTGCCGGCGGAGCTCACGGGCGCGTCACTGCAACTCCCCCTGGCTTCTGCTCCGCGGCTGCTGAGTGAGCCCTCATCTGGGACTCTCCTCAGCTCTTACTGGGACAGTGGCGCGGCTGCCCCTCTGTTGGTCTTCCATGGTCTCTTGTGTTCTGGGGGCCTCTGGATGTCTGGAGTTTTGATCTCCTCCATACCTGCTTCATACCCTGGAGGACGGGGCTGTGGCCCCCCACACTCCCTAGCAGATCGTTACATGGAGAAACCTTTGGAATACAAGCATGCTGATCCACACAGGTATGCACACAGGTGTACACACGGGTATTCACAGACGCGGACTACAGCTTTCTTGGCTGCTGCCTCAAAGCACATTGTGCGCTGTCTATCTTGCGTGCTGCACAATATCGTTTATTATTTAGTATCTACTGTTATCTACTGCTAGCTAGTTTATTGTTTTTTTTTATTATGTTGCTCTTTGCTGTTTGCTTTCCCTTCTGTTTTTTTTCTCCATACAGGTGACCCAGGTGCTTTGTTTGTTTTTGTTTTTTTTCTTTCTTCCCCCCCCTTCTCACCCTCTCTTCTCCCAATAACCTGCCTCAGTACTAAATGGAAGCTCCTGTCAGGCATCATATTGGCTAAGATGAACAGGCACATGGGTCAATACATGAGTGGGGCACAGAAAGGGATTGGCAAGAATACCAGAGGCGCAAAACACCGGCTACTGGTAGACAGAACAGTCAGCCGAGACTGCAAGACCAGACTGACCAACCTGTGCACTGCCTGGATTGATTACAAGAAGGCCTATGACTCAATGCCCCACAGCGGTTTAACATATTGCCTGGTTCTGGCAAGGATTTGGGGAGCACTGGTCCACAGTTTGAAGTAGCTTGTCCAGAACTGCACCTGAGAACAGATGGTGATATATCAGAATACATTATTATTATTAACACTTGTAAAATAAAAAAATAAAAAAAGCATATACAGTGCTGTGTAAAACAATTTTCCTCCTTTCTGATTTTGTTATGTTTTGCATATTTGTTACACTTTGTCAAAAATTCAAGGGCCTCTCAAGGCGTCGTTGTCGGCTACCAGTTTTACTGTCTGGGTTTAGCATTTCTTCTTTTTCCACAGTGACAGCACCCAACCAAACATTTTTTGTTTTAGTCGTTACTCGTTAAACATCACCATGCTACAGCTTTGGGTTTAGCAGTCATTTCAGCATGCACATGATATAGCTAGTAGTTAGAGGATATACATAAGGAGACTCTTTTAGTATGGTAAATAAAGAAACGGGGTCAGCCTGAGAAGAGGAAAGAATTCACACGGTATGATTTCTGGTAGTAATTCTAAATCTGTGCTGTTAGTCACTTGTCTCCCCAGAGATGCTTTAAAAGTTAAAGTTTCACCGTGACCTGCAAAACTAAACCTTCTTTGGAATCTATGTTAAAGCATTGCTTTTTTTTTTCTTCCTGACTTAATTCCTATATCATGTCTGCCTGGAGACTTGGTCCCTGCAGCTTTCATACAGTGGCTTGCAAAAGTATTCGTATTCGTAGTCCTTAGATGTGCAAAGCTGGTAGAGACAGACCCTAAAAGACTGGCAGCTGTAATTGCAGCAAAAGGTGGTTCTACAAAGTATTGACTCAGGAGGCTGAATAATTACGCACACCCCACTTTGGAGTTACTTATTTGTAAAAAAAAATAATGTTTGGAATCATGTATGATTTTCCTCCCACTTCTCACGTGTACACCACTTTGTGTTGGTCTTTCATGCGGAATTCCAATAAAATTGATTCATGTTTGTGGCTGTAATGTGACAAAATGTGGGAAAGTTCAAGGGGCCGAATACTTTTGCAAGCCACTGTATATATATGAAAGCATCAAACATAAATAGCTACGGGCAAGGCATCTCAAAATTGGCGTACTGCTGGCAGAACAAAGTCGACAACCTCAGAGATGATCCCTGTAATCCATGAAACATAAGGGGACATCAGTATGTACTACTTTTCACAGTTTTTAAGAATGTGTCATGACTCCAATCAGTACATTCATACTGATATTAGATAGCATGAAAGCAGTTTTGGGGGATTAGTGCAACTGTTATTGTCTTCTGTCATTGTTCGGTTCTAGCCTTATTAGTTTGTGTTAAACTACACTATTAACACGTGTGTGTATACATAATACAGTCCCTTGTCTGTTGTCACTTGTCGTGTTCAAATTTTTTAGGAGGAATTTCAGGAGAAAGTTGTCATTTAAAAAGATTTAATTTGTGTTGGTAGTTGAAATTACAAGTTTACACAGCGCTGTGGACCTCTGTGTGAAATCAAGCATCTGGTTCACAAAAAGGATAACCCTCAAACGGGCTGTACAACCTTATATAGTGAGACAAAAACAAAGATTATCATGGCAGTCTTGCTGTCTCCCTGCAAATCCTCCCCGTCCATGTCCAACCTCGTCTGGTACCTGCTCCCTCCTCTGTAAGAGGCACACAGGGAAACACCTCTCTGCCTAGCCTTGCTAATCTAATGTTATTATCCATTGTTCTTCTACTGATTCTGAGTTCTGGTTCAGGATATCTTATTCGGACTCTCTGATGCAGAGACTCAAAAAGATGTTTAAGATCACTGCCCTGAATTAACAAAAAGAGGGCTCAAACAGATCCAGGGAATCTGCACACAGAAGCGAGTATTAATATTATGCTAAACAATCACTAAAGCACTTTTAGATTTAGCTGGGGCTTTACGAACTCAAGGCATGGCAGGTGCAGATCATCAGGACAGGTGGGCGGGCCCAAAAGCAGGAGCCCAAAGATGAGCTCCGCCCAGGTAGACAGGGGACAGCGAGGGAGAGAGGGAGTGACAGAAAAAAACAAAAAACAATACTGTAGCCCAACGTGAGCCAGCCAGAGAGACACGGAGACCATGACATTTTCGGCCCT